CGGCCCATTGGCGATGGAAGGGCGATGCGGGGTCGAGGCGTCCCCCCTTGTGCCCATCCCCCGTGGTTTTCTCGTGGCAGGAGGAGGGGGAGGAGGAGGAGGGAGGAGGAGGACAGGAGGAGGAGGAGGAGGAGGAGGAGGAGGAGGAGGAGGAGGAGGAGGAGGAGGAGGAGGAGGAGGAGGAGGAGGCGCGCGGGCTGCCGAGATCGAGTGTGCATTACAGGACGAGGCTCATCCTCCCCATCCCCCCCATCTCCTTTCCTTGCCCCGTGGTCTTCGGGTCCGAGCTCGGCTCTCGGGCGGCCGCTCGGGACGAGCTGGGCATGCCCGCGGAGCGCCCTCGGCGAGGCGCGGCCGCTGGAGAGCACCCCGAGGCTTAGGTCGGGCCTGTCCACCTACAGACCGATTTTCAAGAAAAAAAGAAAATATTCAAACAATGCACCCACATGGTCAAAAATAGTAAAAAACAAATCGTCCCCCGACTATTTTTGGACAAATTTGGGAAGTCCCCCCTGTAGAGGGACGCGACCGACCCGAGGCTGGAAAGCCGCCGAGAGGTGACGAAAGCGCCCGAAGCATACGAACCTCGGCCCTTGCCTTGCCTGAGCCTGTGCCGCTGCCCCTGGTGCGCCCAGCTCGTGGGCAGGAGTCAGGAGAGGTAAACTTGAAGGGGCCCTGGGGCACACAAGAAAATAAATGTACACGAATAGCAGGCTCCCCCAAATTTCCCAATGTTTTCGGGGTTCTGATCTTCCCCCCCTAATGTTCCCATATTTTCCCACATTTTCTGGGAATCGACGAGTCATTGTGTTTGTGTGTTTCATCCCCTCCGGAAAAATCCAGACAGAAGAGGCCCAGGCGGAGGCCGAGCACTCCGTGCGGACCGGCTCCGCACGGACTCAGCATTCCATCAGGGGAGGCTCAGCCCAGACGGGTAAGCTGAGGTCGGGCATGTCCTCCTGCGGGCGGAGGTTGGAAGACAAACTCTAAAACGTCAGAACAAAAGCAAGCATGACCAAAAGAGCACGAACTATCGTCACCATGTTTCTGCTACTCTGGAACACTCCTCTTCCTGTAGAGAGACGTGCCCAGCCTCAGGGTAAGCCCAAACGGAGACCGAGCACTCCGTCCGTGCGCACCTGCCCCGCGCGGCCTCAGCCGCTTCGCTTCCGACAAAAGGAGCGGGCACCCCGCAAGACTGCCGGAGAGAGAGAGAGAGAGAGAGACAGCACCCGCCTCGGGCGCGCGTGGGGGAGGGGGCGCGGCTCGCCTGGCCCTCCGCCGTCGGAGACCCGCCCGCCTGGGCCGCCTCCCGGGAGCACGCGTCGTAGAGGCCGACCGGCGGCGACATCGGGAGGCTGCTGGAAGCGCGGCCGGACGGTGAGCGGCAACTCACGGGAGCCTCCCTCTGCAGAGACGTCGGAGGGGCTGCCAGAGGGTGCCCCTGGGCCCGAGGTGCCCCCAGCTTCCCGATCGACCCCGGAGGCCCCGGGGCCCCCCTGGGCCTCGAGGAGGGGTGCTCTGGAGGCCATGGGGGCCACCTCGGAAATCCTGGGGGCACCTTGGGCCAGGGGCACTTCTAGCAACACCCTAAAACATGACCATGAACATGAACTGTCGGAGCTCCGCTCGGATTGGTTGGATCTACGCTAGGCCCCCTACCTGGCGCGCTCCGCGCGCCAGGGGCGGCGCCCGAGGCGCCGCCAGGGGGGGCCAGCGCAGAACCACGCCATCTGCGCGGACATCCAAAGTTGATGTTTATGCCATCTTATGTTGTTCGAAACTCACGGGGGCCTTCCGTGCCATCTTGCTGACCTCTGCGACTCGGCAAGAACCTGCGCCAATCGACGCTGCTCGACGCCATTCGACGCGGAATCGACGCCGACCGACGCTACTCGCGCTCTCATCGGCTACCAGGTGCTCTCGCACGCGAGCGCCCTGGAAAGGGCACACAAGGCTGAGGTCGGGCCTGTCCCCCTACAGACCGATTTTCGAGGAAAAACAAAAAACTGCAAAAATACTCCCAACTTGTCCAACAACAAGAAAAACAAGATCGTCCCCCGACTATGTTTTGGGATTATGTTTGGGATATTCCCTCTGAGGGGCACGCCCGACTTAACACAAGGCTCCCGTGATTTGCGGCCAGAGGTCGGCGGCGAGCTTCCGGGGGGGAAAGGCGAAAGAGAGGGCGGGCCTTCTTCCCGGAGCGAGGGGGAGTCCCCGGGCCTGCCGCGGAGCTTCCCGGGCCCTCCCCGGAGGCACAGGCAAACGTGACCAGCCTCGAACTTACACATCGGTCGGAAGAAGTAGGTGAGAACCTGAAGTAGGAAGGCGGCTTAAGTGGATTGGGTCCAGGCCCTCCCAGAGAACAACAAAGCACAGCAAAAGCGCGTCGATTCTTGAAGTAGGAAGGCGCTTGAAGTATATTGGGATCTGGGGATCCAAAAAATACCTACTTTCAGCGACCGGCGTGTGTCCCTATCCCCAAGACTGACAGGCCCAGAGGCGATGACAGTCTAAGGGATGCGCCCTCCAGAACGGAGGGAATCCTAAGATCAGCGTCGAGAGAAGGTGATGCCGATCATGGGGACAGGGATGTACTTCGGGCTGGTACACATGTTACAAGGCGCGAGGGCCTCCGAGAAGCCCCGCCGCCTTCTTCCCATCGCACTTGAAGGCCAGACCCCGGGAATGATTTCGAGCACCCAGAGAGGAATCGCAACAACATGTGTCCGGCACGCTGGCGAGGTGTCGAACGAGTACCGCCTCCCGAGGCCCGACACGGGAAGACCCTCCAGTCTCGGTCTTTTCTTGGTGCTCGGGATTTTTTTCCTGGTGGCCAAGGCTAGAAAGTATGCTAGACCAACACGCCCGGACCCCTGACGCCATGATTTTGTCATGACGTCGACCCCCAGGAGTCTCGACCCACTCCCCGGGACCGGCTTTTCGCCCCGAGTCGCTCTTCCACGGCCCCGAGGCCCGGCAGGGGCCCCCAGAGGCCAAACATAGCGAGAAACTTCCCGTCGTGATCCTCTTCGGGACTCGAGGGGGTCTGGGCAGCCCCTCCCACCTCCCCCCCCCCCCCTCGCTCGCCGCCGAGGCTGACACTGCTCCCCGGGGGGCGAGATCGACCCGCCCGAGCGCTGGGCACCTCGAGGCAAGCCTGGGCCGGCCGGCCGGCCGAGGCCGCTCCGCCGGTGGCCGTGGCGAGCGGGGGGGGGGGCACGGCGGCGGCTCCTCCACGGGGGCGCCTCCTCCTCCTCCTCCTCCTCCTCCTCCTCCTCCTCCTCCTCGACCCTCCTTCTCCTCCTCCTCCTCCTCCTCCTCCTCCTCCTCCTCGACCCTCCTTCTCGCCTGCCCTCTTCCTCCTCGACCCTCCTGCTTCCTCCCCTTCCTCCCCGACCCTCCGTCCTCAGGGGAGCGAAGAATGGCATAAACATAGGAACTCGGAGGTGCGCGCGGATTTCTCGGATCCGCGCTGGACCCCCCTGGCGGCGTCTCCAGCGCCGATTCAAGAAATCCGCGCGGACCTCAGAGTTTTTATGTTTATGTCATTGTTCGTTCCCCTATCATTCTTCTCCACCGCCTCAATTCCTCATCTTTGCACCCCGCCTCTTCGAATAGCTACACCTATCCATTACTCCCCCTCGCTCTTCGACTCCTCCACGGGGACGCCTCCTCCTCTTCCTCCTCAACCCTCCTTCTTTTAACGGGCGAATGACGGTATGAAGTAAACTGTTTCTCTGTCGGGCGCGCCTGTCCCAGAGCGGCTGGAAAGTTTATACCCTCACGGTGGCACGTCAACATATATACTTTCCAGCCGCACTGGGGCAGCCCCCCTGGTGATGGAAATGTTTACTTCATACCGTTCTTCGCCGGCTAATTCTCACCCACCGCCTCAAGTCCTTATCTTTGCACCCCGCCTCTTCGAATAGTTACACCCATCCACGTATTACTCCTCCTCCTCCTCCTTCTCGCTATCGACTGGCGTTGAGCAGGAACTGGCCGTCCGGGCAGTTCTGTAGGCATACAACGACAAGTTCTTGGAGCCCAAGAACGTGATTCGAAACACAACAGTGATGTTCGTAGAACATAGCACGGGCATATTGACACAAGACGGGTTCGGCCAGAAGTGTTCTGAGAAAACGTTCTGTGCAAACCACAACCAGTTCTTAGGGAAGTGTGTGGTGGGCCTACAGGCAAGCTAGGGCGCCTCCGTCGGCACTCCGTCGGCCTTCGGTGAGGTCCCTCTGCATTCTTTCTCTACGGGCGCAAGAGAGGCCCAGTGGCAAAGAGAAGGGAAACGACAGCCGAGTGGGCGACACGACGGGGGAAGATGTGGGAAGGGGGCGGCGGGGGGGGGGGGGAAGGGGGGAGGAGGAGGAGGAGGAGGAGGAGGAGGAGGAGGAGGAGGAGGAGAGGAGGAGGAGGAGGAGGAGGAGGAGAAGGAGGAGGGGCAGGAGGAGGAGGAGGAGCAGGAGGAGGAGAAGGAGGAGGAGGAGAAGAAGAAGGATTAGGAGTAGGAGGAGGCGGAGGGGGAAGCGCCATTGAAGCGCGCCAACCCGCGCCCAGACCAGCAGGCCTCAGTCCATGCCGGCTGCAACCAGTCGACGCGCTCTCCTGGTGGCAACGAATACCGGGTACCTGTGGAGAACACACGTTTAGTCTGCACCCAGCCGAGCCGAATGCCAGCAGTGCATGAGCATCTGAGGAGCAGATGCTGGCCCCTGGCACGCACAACTTGCTCAGATCGTCGGCTTGGTTTCAGCCACCATGACATGCTTCACGGGATGGAAAGCTAAAGAGAAGAGCCCTAAACATACCACAGCAGGTACTCCCCGACCTCTCCTTGGGGCCTAAGTCCTGGGATGGGATGCCTTCTGACCAGGAGCTCGAAGCGAAGCCAGCTGTGGCGACAGGGGCCCTCCAAGGCGTCCAGAGGGGCGAACACGAGGTCAGGGCAGCGGTGCTGGCACCTTCCATCCGAGTCGAGAGAAGTCTTTCTACTGTTGTTCGCATGCCTCAAGCCGCGCGCCGCTTCTGCCGAGCTGGACAAGCTATGAGCATCTCGCGAAATGGGTCGCACGGCTGGGATGCCCGAATGCCGCTGCCAGCCGGTGGCCGGGCTACCCAGCCGCCATGCTGGGCTGCCTCGGCCCTGGGCCACGCGGCCGAGCCTGGCAAAACCAGGGATGCACCACTACCTTGGCATGGCAGAAGGCACCTGTACACCACCACGCCTGGCCATGGGCATCCTGGGCCATGGCATGGCAAACACCCTCCTTGCCCATGGTAGGGCCCAAGGCCCGGGGAGTCTATAAACCATGCGAGGGTCCAGGATGGCCCCGGCCACGCACGGGGGTGGCGTGCGGGTGCCACCTGCGGATAAGTAGAAATCCGCACACATCGATTTCGCGTGGTCACTACCATTCAAGGCCGATCCGCCAACGCCCTCAGTAAGCTGAGGCGAACTCTAATCCCTGTCAGTTCGCTTTTGTAGGGCCTCCGTGCATCTACATAGCCCCCCGCCCCTACTTGCGAGGGGGGTTCAACATCGCCCCTGAATGATGTTGATATCCTTCGCTCGCTTCGGTCCGATAACGCCTCGAGAGGACTCCAATACAACCCTAAGACAATCCAGACGCCCCCAAGATTATCCAATCGAGCCTCTCCAAGAGAGCTCCGTATAACCATCGCGCCAAAGACATGCCAGGGACCCCCAGCACTCGTCCAAAAGGGGCTCTCAGAGCCCACGCCCAAAATAATCCCCCCAACAGTTGCAAAGAGCCTCGAGATTACAAAATGAGCAAACATGCAAAACTACAACTCACCTAGGCTACGACAACGTAGAGCCGCTTCCTACGACGCACATTATGGTTCTGCCGAAACTGTTCGGAGGCATCAGGAGAACAACCGCGCATGCGTTTCGAAGATGTGCTGGTGCGTTGGCGGGAGAGGCCGCAGGAATCTGGATACTCAAAGTAGACGAGCACTGCTACCGCTCAGCCGGCATCAGACAGCAGATGTTTGGCCCACTCGCTGCCAGGCCCGGCGCTGGGACACCCGCATGCTGCCCAGAGCTGCGCCTGTCCCCAGAGCCCTCCCAGCACAGCAGGGATGCGACTGCCCGTTGTAGCCTGCTTCGCAGCCCTCGGACCGAGAGCCAGCCCTTCTCAACGCACCAGGCCTGGAGCCACAGGTCCTGGCGGCTTGGGGCCAGCACTCGCCTGGGCCGCCCCGGCGCTGCCCTCCGAGCCTCCCCCGCCGCCGCGCCCCGGGTCTGGGTGCTCGGGGGGCCTCGGGGCGCCGCACTGGCGGCACTGGTTGTTCTTGGCGAACTGGTGATCGCCGCACCTGGGGCACTGCCAGTCGCCGCGCAGCATCGGCGGCTTGCCGGTCCCGTCCCAGCCCGACTCCAGGAGCGTCGGCGGACCACTCCGCGCCGGCGCGGGCGGCGCCGCCGGCGCGGCGGGTGGTTCCCAGCCCATCTCGAGCATCTGCATGGCGCGCTGGTCGGAGGAGAGGTGGGGCAGCGCTGCAGACGCCGCCGCGGCCGCCATGGCCGACGCGGAGGCCGAGGACGACCCCGACGAGGGCACGAAGCCCAGGTCAGCCATCTGCCTGAGATGAGACAGCGCGTCCGACTCGCGCCATGCGCCAGAGTTGCTCGAAAGCGACGCCCACGCCGCCTGCGCGGCGGCGAAGGATCTGGCCCAGTCGCTCTCCGTGGCAGGCCGGCCGGCCAGCTGCTTGGGGCCCCTTGCCCCCGCCTCTTCGGTGCCCGCCTCCTCCTCGGCCTTCCGCCTCTCCTCCCGCCCCTCGGCCTCGGGCTCGCCCGCACGGTCGCGGATGTGCCGCGAGGCCTCGGCCGGCTCGAAGCTGGCGTCCGAGTAGCACGGGGTGGACCCCGCCTCCAGGCTCGTGCACGCACCGGTGGTCACCACACCCTTCAGGAGGGAGTCCAGCTCCACCTTGCAAGGAAGAGTCCACAAAAAAAACATACGCTCCCAGAGGTCCTCGCATATTTTTCGGATCGGGGCGGGTTCCCCTAACCTGGCGCGCGGAGTGCGCCGGGGGCAGCACCAGAGGCGCCGCCAAAATTTGTGGTTGTGCCGTTGCTCCTCTGTGGACCTTGCTCAACTCGAGGATCGCGCTGCGAGCTTCGAGCTTGTCCGGGGGCTTTCCGAAAACGAGGCCGCACTTCTGCATCCAGCGCAGCCATGGGGCCCAGCAGCGCTCATCCGTCATCAACGTCTCATAATTGCCGTAGATGATCAGGCCTCTGCGGGCGCGCGTCAGCGTGACGTTCAGTCGCCGCGGGTCGCTCAAGAACCCAATCTTTCCGAACTGATTGGCCCTCACCGTGGACACGATGATCACTTCTTTCTCGCGGCCCTGGAAGCCATCGACACTCCCGACCTCCACGCCGCGCAGCGAGGGCAGATCGTGCCAGGAGACGCCAGACACGCCCCCGCCAAGCCGCGTGCCGCCGACCTTCACATGCATCGGATGTATAATTATCGTGCGCATGTTGGCTGGCGTCACGCGCCAACGTGAGTGTTAGAAGAAGAGACGAGGCATAAGCATAATCTTTTGACGCTCCTCGCGGATGTCTTGGATCTGCGCTGGACCCCCCTCCCTGGCGGGCGGAGCGCGTCAGGGGCGGCGCCAGTGGCGCCGCCTGGGGGGGGGCCCAGCGCGGATCCAAGAAATCCGCGCGGAGCGCCGAACAAATGTTTGTCTATGGCGTTTGTTTGATGCCTTCTTTCCAAGGTGTGCAGGAAAGACTGGTCTTAGGTCGGGCATGTTCCCCATACAGGTGGATGGTGGAGGAAAAATGGAAACAACTACCCCAAACATACGCAAGCATAGCCAAAACATAATCAAAACATCGCCCCTGACTATTCATTATACAATGTTTGAGTATTCCTCCTGTCGAGGGACAAGCCTGGCTTCAGACTGCTCGCAGAGAAACCCACGGAATGGAACATGAGTGAATGGACCGCGGGCGGCACGGATCAGGTCTGGAGGAGCCCGCGGCGGTGCTCTCGGCACGGCGTGTTCGACCCCGTCAAGAGGCCGACGAGCATACAAATAATTACACACACAACACACATCCCAGGATTCCCCATAATTTCTCATATGATGTTCTGGGTTTTCGTTTCCCCCCCCACTTCCCGTATTTTCCAATATTTTCCTGGGAGCCGGAGCCGTCGATGTGGTGTGTGTGTGTGTGTGCGTGTGCGTGTGCGTATGCGTGTGCGTGTGCGTGTTCGTGTGAGTGTGTGTGTGTGTGTGTTCCCCTCCTGACCATGGTCCCCTTGTTACCCCTCGCTCCTGGGCTCTCTTCGGCGGTCTTCGGACGCTTTTCAGCGCTCTTCGTCGGTCCGGCGGATCCCTGCGGTCTTCGGCGCGAAAGCTGGACGGTTGCGGTTAACAAGGGGTTCATGATCGGATACCTGATATACGCAATCGCAAGCCGTAGACCCGCGCTTCAAAGGGAAAGAGTCCCCTCGTGAAGGCTACTTCGGACACAGCGAGAAGCGCAGCTGCTTGAGACTGCAGCGACTGCTGCAGCCATGGAATTGGGATCCTTAGGGGGCAAACAAAGCTACCTCGCTGTTGCCCACCCTCGCTTCCAAGAGGAACCAAGCGATGCCAACCTACGGCCTCTACTGGTCAGGCCGCTTGACGAGGAGGCGCGTGGTAGGACTTTGTTTTGCCTGGAAGCAAACGCGGGGTAGGAAATTCACGCTCTGAATCCTCTTGGGCCATCGTGAACCGTCGGCATGCGTCAGGTGGAAGTTTTGGGACCCTCGCTGGCCATCTTGGCCCCCTCTGGACGACAACGGCTTGAAGCACCCTGGGCCTCTCCGGGACTCTCTTCGAGGCCTCCAAGGGGGTTTGCGGGGTCTTGTGAGCCATGGCCCATACGCCGTCCCTGTGGGCAGAACAGAAGTTGTTCTAGATGTTCGGTCTCTGTGACTCCTGCCACCCATGCGAGGCCTCGTGGAGCGCCCTGGGTCATACGGACATCGCTCGGAAGTCGCCCCGGCCATACTGAGACCCTCCTGGAGCAATCTTGGGCCGCCCGTGGGTCCCATGGCCACCCCCTTGTGCCACAGCCCCGCAAGAACGAACCTGGAACGACTATGATCCGCCTTCACTGGGCTCCAGGCGGGCCCGTGGTATCAGCTCCAATCGCTAATCTCGGGCACCACTGGAGATGCACTGCCGCAGACGGCCCTGTGACGCAGTGACAGTGGGGGACCTTGTTGGGGAACCCGGTGAAGCATGAGCCGTTGGTGGGCCATCCATGGCATGCTGGAGCATATCTTGAGACATACGTGGGCCGTTCTCGGAGCCTCTTGGGTTTTGAGCTGACCCAAGATGTGACTACGCAGGCCCAAGAGGCTCCTAGAGCCCAACGAGCCCCTCAGAGCCTCCCAAGAGGCTCCACAGACGGCCCCCGAGATGCCCAGGAGGCCAACAAACATGTCGTTGAACAAGCAACCGAGAGATGGTCCAAGATAGCTCGAATTTGTTTCAAGACGCCGCAGGGCTTCTCAGCCGACCTCACTCGGCCCAAGAGGTCCAAATCGAAGGAACTTCCTCACTGGGGGACACAAAGCCCAAGGCAGTAGCTTGGCACGAGCTTTGGCCCAAGGCTTGGTCACACAGCCTCTGCTAGGGGACGACGGTGACTCAACGGACGCGATCTTGGATCCCGCCGCCTCCACGACGGGCATGCTGAGTGCTGAGCTACACCGAGACGCTACACGCAACCCGCTGCGTGGTGACACGGAACTTAGCACGTGGATTGACACCGTAGGTCCGGCGCGGCACGTTCGCCGAAGCGTGGGCCAACACACGCCGAGCCAACACGCAGCGCGTTCGACCCCATCGTTTTGAACACGGCACGGGTTGTGATTCAACGCCGGGCGTGTCAGGGCAGCTAAGACTACGCAAGTGGTATCCTCTGGTTTGGCCTCCAAAGGCTTCTCCGTTAGCGCCGCTGCAGGCACAGTCGTTGGCCGCTCGGGCCCGGCCCGCGCACTCCGCGACGGCCCGAGGCACCGCCGAGACGACCAGATTGGCGCCTGCCGCGGCCCACCTGCGGCAGTCACGCACCCGTGTTTTACCAGCCTGGAACATATTCCTATCCCTATGCTGGGCACCTCCGCATCACGATGCCAATCTTAGGGATTCCCTTTTTTTTGAGGGCGAATCCTTAAGATTGTCATCGCCTTCTGGCGTGTCAATCTTAGGGATAAGGATACGCTCGAGGCTGGTAAGTGCTGGCGGGCGTGCTGTATGACCACTCTCGGGAGCCCCGAGGGGGAGCCAATTGGCAACGGGGCTGGCACGTCCGCGTGTTGGCCCTATGACCCGACGGGGGCTGTGCGACCCCGTGCCGGCCATGGCCGCCGCTCCCATGCAGAGAGCCCATGTGGCACGAAGAAGATGGACGGCGCCAGATCTACAGTACAGGGGGGGGCGTTGACCTTAAGGAACGCAAAATAAGGAACGAGGCCCCTTTTTCCCATCAGTGGAAGTTCGATCCCCCATCGAAGACCTAGGGAAAACCTAGGGCAAGCTGCCAAACAATCAGGGAACACGGAGCCCCTCCCCAACGAAAAGGGTTCCTTCTTCAGCGCCCCGACTGTAGAGGCCCGACCACAAGACACCTTCCACAAGAAACCCAACCCTGAGACCCCAGGGCGTCCACTCCTCTCTGGCGTGGGAACGCCACGCCCTTCCAGCGCAGGACCACCGAGACCCAGGACGCCCAGGAGGCAGGCAGGGCGTCTCTGGGCATGGATCTCCGCTGAAAGACTGCCCAAAGACGGGGCGCAGTAATGACGGCCCCAGACGGGTGCCACCAGGGCCCGAGGCGGCAGCAGACACCACGCCGAGAGGGCCCCAGCGCAGCACCGGCAGACGGCCGACACCGCTGCAGCACCCGGCGTGGGCGTCCAGGCTTCTGCCTGCGCGCTTCGGCGCCCGAGCTTCTCGGCCGAAATGGCACCATGAGGGCCTCGGAGAGCCAGCAGATGCCCGCAGAGGGAGCCTTAGGGCGCCCCAGGAGGACCACGAGACGCCCCCGGACGGCCCCCAAAGGCCCCGCAGGGCCGCTGGAGGGGCCCAAGCTTGCCCAGGCGAGCGATTTCAAGACAGCCTCACGGTGGTCACAAGAAGCCCCCTCGGCGACCACGAAGTCCAAGAGCCCAATGACAGGCCGAACGAGTGCAACAAGACGGCCCCCAATGACCCCGAGATGCCCCTGTAGAAAACCTCCCACGGGGACCCCCACAGAGAACTCCGTGCGGACCCAATTGCCCAGCGGGCCGTTGATGCCCCGCGACCGGCCCGCAAGACACAGGGAAACGCAAGAATACTCCAACGTAGGCGTATCGGTCAGAGGGGCTCACTGTGACCCGCCGGAGGCGCCTCCGATTCGAAAGCGCACGGTGCGGCCCCCATGTTCAATGCTGTGTCTGCGATTCGCACCTCACCCTGGTATATTTCACATCCAAGCCCGTCGCCCTGAACGCCCCCTCCGATGCATGTCAAGACGCATGTCCCACTCCCGTGCAATGGCCACTCCCGTGCAGTTGCCACCTGGGGAAGGCCAATCCCGTGCAATTGCCACTAGTGATGGTTTCCTTTCAAAGTCGCGTCATATCGGGGTAGAGTTTCTGGACTATCCCCCGCCATTTTTGGTTAGGGGTAATCACCGGCCTTGCGCCGCAGTAGCCTCACCTGTGCAGCGTAGGGGGAGATCACGCCGATCTCGGACGGACTCAGCTTCCCCTTTGACAGCAAGTTGTTGACTGTCTCCGCAACTCTGGCTGCCTCCTCTGGGTTGAAGTGGGAAGCGCCCTCGGACTTATCCATGCCCTGGACAGGTACGAAGGCGATCGGCACACCCACGACAGGCCAAGCAAAGCCTGTTGGCGGGGGTCGCTGCGATCCTGGGACACCGCTCTTCAGGGCTGAGCCGTAGAACTGCTCCGAAGGGAACGCCGCGATCACGGGGTGCATGCGGAACTGCACGTCCAGCAGTGCCGGCGCCACGCCCCGCTTCACCAGGCGCTCAAATAGAGGGGTCTTGAGACCCTTCCGCTCCGCCTCTGGGCGACTGAGACCATCCCCCGACCCCCCTGGCGCAATTCCTTCGCCAAGCTGCTCCCTCGTTCTCCCCTGAGCAGCCGTCTTTGAAGCAGGCCACTCTGGGGTGATCTCCTGGGGTGGGGGTGGGCTCGGCGGATGGTTCCCTTCGCGAAGCCTTCTTGCAGACAACCGTCGGTGGCAACTGCCTGTGGTCACCGACGAGCACAGCCTGGTGCAGGCCGGGCCGCACCAACGGGAGCAGGGTGAGGGGCTCCGTCACCTGGCCAGCCTCGTCGATCAGGACGCACGGGAACGAGATCGTGTCGAGATGGCTGCTGGCAGCGCCAGTGCAGGTGGCGCAGACGACCTGCGCGCTGCTCACGATGGCCCTGGAGTGCCCCCACATGGACTGCGGGTCGAGGTCGCCCTGCAGAGAGGGGTTGCCACCACTGAGGGCCTTCGTCCTCTCACGCGCGATGTGGTCCAGGGAGTAGGCCTCCAGGTCCTGCCTGATGGCCTCAGGCCGGCCCAGGCGCACCACGCTGAGCCCAACCGTGGCGCACCCCGCCACCAGGTTGTCGACGGCCACATTGCTGTTGGACGTGCAGAGGATGGGGGTTCTGCCGGACTCTACCCACGCCCTCACGAGCAGTACCGCGGTGTGAGTCTTCCCACTGCCGGGCGGCCCCTGTATGAGCGTGCAGCGCCGCTGCAAGCCGCTCATGATCGCGACCTTCTGCGAGCTGTTGACCTGCGACCAGACCGGCGACCCCTCTCCCTCTGACGTCATCTTCTCCACGAGCTCGCCGGCGAGCTGCGCCTCAGGTGTCACCACGCCCCTCGTATAAATACCGAAGCCACACGTGAGCAAGTCGGCGAAAGGCCCGAACGGCCCATCCTTGCCCACGGTCGCGATCAGCCGCAGAGCCTCCATCGACCTCTGGAAAGTGGTCTTGTTAGCAAGCTTGTCAACTCGACACATGAAGCCGGACTGTATCACCTTGGCAGCGGCATTCGGCGGTGCCCCGAGCAGCTTCACCACGATGCCCTCACCGTGCTGGGTGAACTCTGTGACCTCTGCGTCTGTGCCACACGCCAGGAAAGTCTCGGTCTCCAAACCTTCTAACGTAAGCAAAAGGACGTCGCCTCTCTGCATGAGGTGTCCGATTGGCAGCGCCCCGACCAGCCGCAACTCGCTGCCGGCCGCCGCCGCATCTTGAACCGTGGGCTGTGGCGTCAGGTGCCGGACGCAGACGCCGGCCTGGCAGAGTGCCTCCACGGGCGCATTCCAATGGTGCTCGTAGCCTGAGCTCCACTCCGCCATGTACTCCTGGACCACGAGGCTGGAGAAGTGCACGAAGTACCGCCGGGTGTTCCGGTCGCTGAACTTCACCAGGAGGGTCACGTCCTCGAGGAACCTCAGGACCGAGTCCAGGTCGCTGCGCGGTCTGATCGACATGGCTATGAGGACGAAGTCCTTCGGGCTCATGCACTCCTTCAGAGGCGACAGGCGCTTCGCCAGGATATCCGCAGCCTCCTTGACATTGTCCCTGCGCAGTGCCTCTTTGACCTGATTGAGCAAGCTCGCGATGTGCTGCGTAGGGAGGTTTTGCACGGGTGTATAGGTGGTGGGCTCGGCCAATCTAGTGCGCTTGTGCGCGCCCATGTTGATGGCCCTGGCGATGGTTTCGGCGGTGATGGCGCCTGAGGCTGCGGCTTCCGCGACCACGGCTGCCGATGCATCGGAACGGCGCTCCTGCTTCCGCTTCTTGGCTCTCTTTGCCGCCTCGCGCTGTGCGTCCGTCTTCCCCATGGCTCCAGGCCGCGCGATCAGATCATGCTGCCGCTGCCAGTGTCGCGCTGCGGCCCGCGTCAGGCGTGTGCCCTGTTGGGCCAAACACTCGCGATGTGGAGGAAGGGGGGGGTGTAGGCGCTGGAGAAGTAAGAGCTGGAGCGAGGAAACGCTGGAAGCACTGTTGCCGGGCTGCGTCAGTAGTTCCACTGCCGAGGCTCGTATGACAACACACCAAAAACAAACCACCGCTGCGCTCTCAAAGAGAACCGAAATACTGCGGTCGATTCAATGGCTGAAGGCCCTAAGTGGACAGTTTGGAGCAAGACGAGTCTTCCTTCCAAAACACTGCCGCCAAGACGATACTGTCGATGTGTCCTTGGACCCGACCGTTGCAGCAGAGCGCTCTGCATGATCACACCGCCGCTTGGCAAAAGATACGAGCACATCACGAAGTCATCTCAGTCCCCCGCAATCATTCGGACTGCACTAGTATTCGATGTATGCGCGATCGTGGCGTCAACACCTAGCCTTTGTCGGCCTGACTGGCGAACAAGCCTTAGCGGTGGCCGAGTGGAGATAGTCAGCACGGGCACCAAATGAGTATCGGCGGATCCTGCTAGAGGTTACACCGAAAGGTTGACGAACGCCAGCTGCAAGCGAGGGATTCCATTTGCAGCCTGCCGTTTGGGTGGTGCCACAGACCATGCGGTCATGAGATCGCAACACAACCGGCACGCGGACTAATATTAACGGGCGAAGAACGGTATAACATAAACTTTTTCGCTGTCGGGGGCGCCTGTCCCAGGGCGGCTGGAAAGTTTATACCCTTACGGTGGCACCGTAGGGGCATAAACTTTCCAGCCGCCCAGGGACAGGCGCCCCCGACAGCGAAAAAGTTTATGTTATACCGTTCTTCGCTCGCTGATAATAGCTTTTCCCTGCACGCTGCCTCGAAACTGCTCGAAACAAAAACTGCACCCGGGCCAGCGCGAGCTCCGACGCCTGCTGCCGCCCGGGAGCCCTCCGAAGCCGGCGGGCGATGCCGAAAGAAGGGAGGGCGTCGAGGCGCGCAGTGGCGCCCCGCTGGGATGCCGCATCCGCGAGAGTGGGCGGCGCGAGCGAGGGGGAAGGGAGCGACCGGAGCGGGAATGCCGTGCCCGTCGTCGTCGCCGCCGGCGTGCTCGTCGTCGTCGTCGTCGTCGTCGTCGTCGTCGTCGTCGTCGCCGCCTGTGTGGAGTGGGCCATGGTGGCGAGGTTGCGGCAGGCGGGGGCGAGGGCGGACCGAGGGTGCACTCTTGGCGGTGGAGAAGGGGGGAGGGCAGGGCAGAGAGGACGCTCCCGGGAGCCCCTCTGCCGATGCCCGCTCGTAGTCCACCCTTCTCGGTGGAAGTCCTCGTGAGGGCCACGAGGGCACGCCCTCGCTACCTCTCTCTCTCTCTCTCGCTCTCGCTCTGCATCGGCCTCTCTTTGTTTCTTGGTGGTCTTGTTTGCTCTTGTTCTCGCCCCCTCTCTCTCTCGATTTGCCCTCCCTCTCCCTTCGCTGGCCCCATCGCCTCTGCAACTCCACATCTCCGGCCCCGTCCCCAGACGACATGCTGCAACCCCGTTCCTGGCGATGCGCGGAGGGCGAGGACGAGAAGGAAGAGGTGGAGGAGGGCGAGGAGGAGAAGGGGAACGGAGCAGAGGAGGAGGATGAGGAGGAGGAGGAGTAGGAAGAGGAAGAGAAGAAGGACGATCGACGACGACGACGACGACGAAGGAGGACGGTAGGGAGCCCAAGGGAGAGAACGTCGAAGGAGGTGGGGGTCCTCATGATCTTTTGAAACTACCCTGGGGGCTGTTGGGGCCATCTGGGGCTATTTTGTGTTGCATCCTGGGAGCCTCTTGGGGGCCAAGGGTCCTCCTGGGGACAATTGGGGTCTTCTCGGGCTGTCGGGGCGTGTCTTAGGGTTCCGTGGTGGCTCTCTCAGGCAGTCCTAGTGTTAGGTCGGGCATGTCCTCCGACAAGCGGATTTTGGAAGGGACATGACAAATAATCCATACATATCCACAAATACTTACAAATTCGTCGAAACTTTGTTTGACTATTTTGGGATGCTCCTCCTGTAGAGGGACATGCCCGACTGGGCCATCTGGGGGCACAACCTGGGGCTCTCTTGGGTGCCTCCTCGGGCCCCCTTAGGTCGGGCGCTGGTAGAACTGGGTTTAGTGGAACCTGGTTTAGTGATCTGTGCCGGGGGCGCCCCCCCGTCCCATTTCCACTGACCGGAACTGCCGTCACCCGGAAAAAACACCAGCTATGGCAAACCTGGTTTAGTGATCCTGGCCAATTCGAAGGCTCAGGGGCCCTACCTCTCACCGGGTCCCCTTGCCCGGGGTTCTGGCCATACCCGATTGGGGCCATCTGGGGTGCCGTCTTGGGGGTTCTCTCCGGCCACGGTGGGCCCCTCCGAGCGCCACTCCGAGACGATGCTGGCTCGGAGCCACCTCCGAACCTGTTGTATAATGCGACACGTCCAGCTGATATCCCAGGAAGCCTTCTCCTCGTAATCTGAGCAATTCATCGCGTGTTACGAGCTCTACGAGGGTTCCGGCGGTAACCTGGTTGACGGTTTACCGCCAGCTCCCCATTTTTTTGGATGCCCCGAGTGAAACGGCCATCTTCAGAACCCTGACCAGACGAGAGCGGGAAAAGTCGCTCTTGTCCGCGGAGCGTCTCATGAAACGTCATGCTGAAAACCTGCAGGAAACTCACAAACAACACGCGGCCACTAAAACAGCTGTCGGTGAATTATGTTGTTCTGCCGAGTCGTGTCCTTGGTGTCTGCTGTGCTGGACTGCCGCGCTGCTGTGGTCTGCCGTGCTGGTCTGCCGTGCTGATGTGGTCTGGACTTCATGACTTCATGTGCGGTGCCTAGAAGTCCTTGCTCCTCCTACGCCCCATCACTATCATGCTCTATCGCTCGGAGAAGCGACAGGGCCGTTGTTCAACTGTTTTCGAGAAAGCATCTCTTGAGAACTGAGATGGCCCCAAAAAACGGCGACGCGACCCGAAGCGGCAACAACAAAAGCCTCGGGACTGGAACCCGAACCGGAACAAGAAACGGCGGCGGGTGGGCATCCGGGGCCACTTCCCTGCGCCCCGGATGCCCACCCGCCTCGACCCGACTCTCCCGTAGGATGCAGCTGCCTCAGCGCAGCCCCCACCCCCTATGATCTCGGCCCTCCCCGGCATGCAGGGGAAGGCCCCGGAAGCTCAGAGAGCTGCTTCGGCGGGTGGCAATAGGGGGGGGTGACCCCGACGGGTGGTGAAGAAATGGGCCCCGAACGGGGCCCTTCAGGGCCCCTGCTGGCTCCCAAAGGGGCTCTATACAGGGCCCCATTTAGGCCGTTTTCCTTCCCCCCCCCCACGGTGGGTCACCGCCCAGTGCCACCCGCCCGGAGAGCTGCGAAGCACCGCTTCCTGCTGGCAAGCGTCCCCCCCTCATCTCGGCCCTCCCTGGCACGAGAGAGGGGGGGAGGGCCCCGGAAGCTCCGAGAGCTGCGAGGTGCCCCCCTCTCTCCTCCAGGACCCCTTTTCCCCGTTCCTTCCGTGATTCTTGCCCCCTTTCCCCGTTCCTTCCGTGATTCGTGCCCATGCAGAGCACCCCTTGCACGCCAACGCGGATGGAGGAAAGTACCCCCGACACACGAGGCTAGCCTTAGGTCGGGCCTGTCCCCCCAGAGACAGATTTTCAAGGACAAATGCAAACAAAAAGTCAAGAAATTACCCCCAAATGGTCTAACACAGTCAACAAATCGTCCCCCGACTATTTTTTTCAACGAGTTTGGAAGATTGTCCCTGTAGAGGGACACGCCCGACTTAAGGCTAGCACCGCCGCGTTGCATTTCGCGGCAACCCGTGGCCCGCCGAAGGCCGAGGCGCCTTTGGAGACGCCCGCGAGGGGCGCTGGTGCGGCGAGCGCGGCGGGCAGCGGCATCAGGGACCTCGGGGGCCACGGGGTCACAGCTCGGGCCGGGCGAAGAGGGGGGGGATGGCAAAGGGGGGGTGTGAGAATCGGCTCACGCAGCTGATTTTCCCGGCGCCTCCTGGCGCCGGAGGCGCCCAGGTGTCGAGGAATGGGCCCGGCGGCGGGGCCGAAACCGGCTGCATGCAGCAGATTTCGTACCACCCCCTTTCCCTATCCCCTCCTCTCGTTCGGCCCGAACAGTGGGGGCGTTGCTCGGGCTGGGCTTCGCGGCGGGCTCGCGCGTTGCCAGCAGGACCACCCAGCGCGACGGCGTTCGAAGTCGTGCGGTTTTGTTTGTTCTTCCCTGCGGCAGGGATCCACCCTCGCGGTACCCTACACCATCGGCTCGATGAGGAGCAGGGGGAGGCAAAACGGACACAGGCGCTGGTGGCGCGGCAAGCGCGGGGTTTGGAGGGCATGTCCCCGGAGAAAACAAGCGAAGCTCGCCACGCCACGCGTTCCCCGCCGGACTGCGGCAGGGCAGACGTCATTTCGTCCAACCGTGCGCACAAGCCTCTTTGAAAATTGTCGGATCGAGCTTAGTGGCGATGGACTCCATCCAACGCTCATGGCTCTGGTCTTATAGATGGGTTCTAATTCAAGTGCATGTGGATTCTCCAAACCGGCTCCAACACAGGTGAGCGGAAAACCTCTGCAAAACGAGCACAAGAGTGCGAGTTGGAGGAGGTTGGGCAAGGGCCACCATCCCACCAGGGATGGGGTCACAGTCGAACGAGAAGAAGGATGAGGAGGAGGAGGATGATGATGATGATGAGGAGGAGGAGGAGGAGGAGGCCCTCGGGTCTACTGGATCCGGGCGCCGCTCAGGGTGTACTTGGCCCCATTCGGCGCCACGTACACATCCCGCTCGTCCACGGGGCAGGCAAAGATGAGGAGGGCCAGGCAGCCGCACAGGAGGCAGCCACCGAGGCCGAACATCTTCGTGTTGGGGCCGGCATACTTCTCGTGCACCACGTGGCTGTTCGCGGGGACCCCGGCGGGAACCCCCGCGGCCGTGGCTGGCTCCGGAAGCACCACCTTGAGCCAATCGCCCTCGAGCTCGCCCTGCAACTTGGAGCCGAACGTCACAGTTGCGGATGGATCCCGGTCATCCAGGTCCTTGCTGAACCGGCCCTGGACTCCAGGCATCCCTGTGCTCCTCAGCTCGATGTTGTCGACGAGGAACGTGTCTCCCCCCTGGCCGACCGCCACCTGCTTGCCGCGAACCATCACTGGTATGTAGCGAACCCTCCCCGCGGGCACCATATCTTGCGGCCTTGGAGCTGCCTCTGGAAGTACCGCCTTGAGCCAATCGCCCTCGAGCTCGCCCTGCAACTTCGAACCGAACGTCACAAGGGCGGATGGATCCCGGTCGTCCACGTCCTTGCTGAACCGGCCCTGGACTCCAGGCATCCCTCCGCTCCTCAGCTAAATGTTGTCGACGAGAAACGTGTCTGCCCCCTCGCCGACCACCACCTGTTTGCCGTTCACATTTACTGGTATGTAGCGAACCTTCTGCGCACAATTCGGCTCAGGAGAAACTCGGGAACTCATCTGGTATTGGACGGCTCGGCGTAGGGGCAAGTGGTGGCGGCCGCGTGACCTCGGCAACAGCCAGCTGGCCTGAGCAGTAGCGGCTTGAGCCAAAACGCCCGCGGAGTTCGACGTCGCGCAGCTTGACGAGAGGTGCCAGCTCAAACAACGGTGGGCTGGTGGCCCCGATCCATCGCATGGACCAGCCGTCCTGGCATTCCTATAGTCATACCACGAAATGCTCTTAGAACCCAAATATGTTCTAAGAGCAAAAGCAATGTTCTTAGACCACAAGCCCGATGTGTCAAAACAAGACAGTCCCGGCCAGAAGTGTTCTAAGAACACTCCGTGGGAAGCACGAGAGGTTATTATAACATTGTTTGGTAGGGCTATAGGCGAGCCAGGACGCTTCGCCACTGCTTGAGACATCCGAGCGCTGTCGTGACATGCGCGCGCGCGCTCGGCAGCCAGCGCGTGGGCCGCTTCTGCGCGGAAAGACCCTCGGCGTTCTCCGCTCCTCCGTGCCTCCTCGGCCCTCCCTCCCCCTGGGCGCTCGCCTGTCTGCGGGCGCGTGGCCCAGGGCTGCCAGCACCGTCGCCGTGCCCAGCCGTTTCTTGGAACGGCGGCCCGCCCTACCCCGCCTCCAGCAGGGAGCCAACTTTAGGTCGGGCGTGGCCTTCTGCAGGCGGATTTTTTGGAAGAGCCAATCACGAAGCACAACATGTTCAACAATTTGGTCAAAAGGGCACGAAGCATCGTCCCCGGGCTGGTCTTGCGATTCTTGAGCACTCCACCTGTAGAGGGACATGCCCAACTTGAGGCTAACTGCCTCTGCGCACTGGCGGCGCGTAGGAAAAGGTTGGGAGAGGGGGGCCAGGCGCTATAGAAGGAGCCTGCTTCTTAGAAGGCGCCGGCCCTGCATCTATAGACGAGGCTTGCGCCTTCTAAGAACCAGGGGTGCCTCTATGGAGACTTCCCCCCCCCCACCCCTACCCTTTGTGGGCCCCGGAAACGGCAAGGCCGTTTTTCACCGTTTCCAAAAAAATGTCCATTGAACATGGAAATGGTACAAAAACGGCAACCGGAAACGGCAAAAAAAAGGCTCCAGGATTGGAATCGGAGCCGGAACCGGTCGAAAAACGGCGACGGAACCGGTAACAAAAACGGCGTCGGAACCGGCAACAAAAACGGCAAAACGGAACCGGTACAAAAACGGCCCTGTCGTTTCCAGGGCCCACTGAGCCCCCTACCCCCCCCTTGGCGCATGGGGCAGATGCTGGCGTCAAGGACGCGGGCCCTGATGGAACGGGGATCCTGGAACCCGGTTTTTTTTGTTTTCCATGAGGCCAGCCTCTCTGAAGGGGCCCCAGGGCACACAAATAAATCCACACAGATAGAAATGTTCCATATATTTTCCGATATTTTCTGGGTTTTTGTCTTCCCCCCACTTCCCATAGATTCCCATATTTTCCTGGGAGTCGACGATTAATTGTGTCTGTGTGTTTCTTTCTCTCCTGACTCTCCTCGTTCTTTGACGCTCCGCGGGCCCGACGAGGGGCCACAGGTCGCTGAAAACGCTGTCGAAGGCCTGCCCACGCTGTAGTTCTTCGAGCGATGCGAGGGGATCGAAATTGCCTTAAAGACTTTTGCTGGGTGCGCTGTGTTCTGGCTAGAACTTCGACGCGCATCCCACAAAGGCGAAATGTAAATGAGGGAGGAGGGGGTTCTGGGTTGAAAGCCCGCGCCTCCGCGCGGCGGGCGCGGCCACGCGCGGGCGCGACGCTCCTCCTCGGCCAGGGGGTCCAGGCGGTTGGGCCTCGGGAGCTGGCGCTGCGCCTGGTGCCCCGGGCGCGGCCCGACGGCGTCTCGTGGACCATGGGCTACACTTAGGTCGGGCACGTCTTCCTACGTCCTACAGGCGGATTTTGGAAGACAAGTGAACAAATAGTCTGCACATAATTCTTACAGCAGTATACACGCACATATATATATATATATATATATATAACATCTAAAAATCGTCCGCATACAATTCCTGGACTATTTTTGAACGTTCCTCCTGTAGAGGGGCATGCCCGACTTCAGGCTACACGCGACACCGACTCTGGGCGAGGGGGACCTATGGCGCAGACCCCAGACCCTGTCGATTCGGAATGAAAAATCACGACGGGAACTGTTCTTCCTCTATTTTCGGCCTCTGGGGACCCTTCCTGGGCCGCGAGACCGTCAAAACACGACTCAGGATTAAAACCTGGTTCCGGGGAATATGTCTAGGTTCTTGGGGTCGGCGTCGTGGACACTTGTAGCGTCCAAAACCCGGAGAGCGAAGAGGGAGCTCCTTTGAAGCGCCTCTGAAGCGCTGCCAGGCACGCTTCAACGCGTGCGTGCCTGCACGCGTGCAAGCACGCGTGGACGCGTGCCGGAAGCGCTCCCGGACGGGCTGCCGGGACCGGCGAGTCGCTGCGAGGATCGTGGAGCGGCGGAGATGGGCTGCTGGCGGGCACCACCACCGTCCGGCTTCTAATCTAAAACCCTATAGCTCTCGGGGAGCTCTCCGGGAAAATCATGACGTCGGGGCTCTGGGACGAAGGGGGCGCAGCGTGGCCAAATCCGAGCGCGCAGGCAGCCGCTGTCGCATCGCGCTCGGCGCTCGGGGGGACCCCGGGGGGCCCGCACCGAAGGTCCCTCCGACGAGCGGGCCACTCTCGCGTGCAGTCGAGAGCGGAGCGCCGGTCGTCGTCCCGGAGGGCGGCCCCGGGAAGGAGCACGATAGGCGGCGCTTACTCGAGGGGTGGGCGATCCGTGGGGGGGAGGGAGGTGCACTCTTCGGCCCCGAGGGGCCCCGTTTGGTCGGGTGCCGCAGGGGGCCCCTTCGGGGGCGCCATGCAGGGCCCCTTTTCTGCAGCCCTCGCTGCCCCCCCACCTGGTTCTCGCCCCCGCTTCGCGACGCCCAGGAGCACGGCGGGAGCAGGCCGTCGGGCCAGGAAGCACACTTCTTACAAGCGCGCAGAAGCCCTGTGGCAAGTCGGGTCATGAGGCACGCAAGCGAGACATCGCACCCGTGAAAGCATCAAGTGGCACCTGCCGTGGGGCAAGGTCCGTGGAGGACCACGGCAAGCATGAGACATCGAAAGGCCTGAGGCAGCAGAGAGCGCCGCCAACCATAGAGCAACCCTTATAGGACATCCATGCAGTGAACGAGACATCGCAATCAATTCAGGCGACATGCTGCACAACCCATAGAGCAGCACCCATACGGCGACAGAGCAAAACAAGCCGTCAAGTATTCATATGCCACCTGCCGTAAGACACCATCCATGGAAGACCTGGGCAACCATGATGATTCGCAATCGCTGAAGGTCAGGTAGAGGGCAAGACATAGAGCAACACCCGTAAAACACGCAAGCACGAACGAGACACACATAACACCCATGAAGACAACATGGGGCACCAATCGTAGAGCAGAAACCGTAGAACACCAGGGCAATCACGAGCTAAACCAGTGGTGTCTCCAATTCCACCCACGCCACGTGAAGGACTCGGCAACTGTTTTTTCGTAGCAAGCGGGAACGCAACAAGCTCTCCTCAGACTGTGCTCCCCGCTCATGCGGCACGCATTGCATGCGTTGGCCTTCCCACCAACGGCGCTCACCTTGATGCAAACATTCCCCAATCAATGCTCGCACTGAAGGGGCCCCAGCGGATACTGAAAGATTTGGCGAACATTTCCCGCCGATTTTGGTAGCCGGCTGGGTTCCTGGGTTCCCGGTTCCGGGTTCCCGGGTTCCTGGTTAGTGGTTCCGGGCCGACTTCGGTGGGCTCCGGGTTCCCTGGTTTCTGGTCGATCTCCCTATCGATCTCTCTTTATCGATACCACTTCATACCACCCAAGGATTGGGTTTTTTTTTCTCTGGTGTACTGCATGTCTACCACGGCGGCGGGGCCTACACCGCCAGACAGCCTGGACCCCCGCCGACCCTACACGCCAACACCGCCGCTTCACTGGCAACGGCCTCTGTGGTCTCTCAGGAGGGCGGTCCGCGGCGCCTGTGCGTCCTTGCCGCGGGCCCGGGCGCCTGCGGTGGCTCAGCGGAGAGATGGAGGACGAGAGGGAGATCTCCCCTCCTCCTCCTCCTCCTCCTCCTCCTCCTCCTCCTCCTTCTCCTTTTCCTTCTCCTCCTCCCCCTCCTCCTCCTCCTCCTCCTCCTCCACCCTCTCCTCCTCCTCCTCCTCCTCCTTCTCCTCCTCCTCCTCCTCCTTCTCCTCCTCCTCCTCCTCCTCCTCCTCCTCCCCCTCCTCCTCCCCCTCCATCTCCTAGAGAGTGAGAATTGAAACGGGGCGCGCGCATGCATCGCCCACCCCCAACAGGTCTGTTGGGGGGTGGGATGCGTTAGTGCGCGCTCGCGATGCTCATGTCCCCGCCCCCCCGCCCTGCCTCGGCTGCGCCCGAGAGTGATAGAGAAAGAGAGCCAGAGAGAGAGAGAGAGAGTGTGAGAGAGAATGCTTGATAGGAGACGAACTAAGATATGGTCCCAAAGATGTGCCCACAGATGTACACCCATCTCGTCGCCCAAGCGGTCGACCATACTTGGTCATGGCGATGGTGGCTGCTGTGGAACGCTGCGTACTGTTATGGAGAGGTAGTGTTCGTTACCAGATGGGGTCTTCGAGACCCTGGATCTATCTGCGATCAAAAAAACACCCACATCCTGCACAACATGAAATACCGATGACGATGGCAGCACAAAAAGAAGGGACGAGTGCGCATGCCCTTCTGCTACATGTATTCATATATGTGTGTATATGCTTATGTATATATATGTATGTATGAACACAGATCCCTTTCTCTTTAATTGATACATATATGTATGTATGAATATATACATATATCGATATATAAGTATATCAAACTAATACATAATATATGTGTATATAGATACAGACACACACTCTCTCGGGATTGGCGCCGCGAGAGGGTCCGTACCTAGAACTCCCTCGCGCTCCCGCGAGGCCGCCACGGCTCAGAGAGCACCCCGCCGCGACGCAGCCGCGTGTGCGGGCGCGCGGGAGGCGGGCGGGTGGGCCTCCGACCGGGGCCCGCAACGGGCGCTGGCGGCGCACCGCGTCGTCCTGGGCTCCGGCGGCGAGGGCCGGGAGGCTAGCAGCCCGGAGCCGTTCTGCCACCTCCCGCCCGACGCCCGCCTCCTCCTCCTCCTCCTCCGCCTCCTCCGCCTCCTCCTCCT